GTAATCGGACCCGTGACAATACGAGAGAAACAGCTGGACATGCAGCAGACATATGTATGGCTCAGAGTTCTCGTCTCATCTTGCTCAACCACACCCCAAGCTTTTGGACACACCAGTGAAATGCAGTCGGCACATTATGCTGTCATGCAGCTGAAGTCCCCATATGAAGAAATTCATAAGTAAAATAAATAAACAATTTAGAGATAAAATCCAAATGGGTGACACAGTGGTTAGCATTGTCATCTCCCGGCTGGGCCAGTTGGCATTTCTGTGTGGAGTGTGCATGTTCTCCCCAGTATGCTCCTTTTGCTCCTGTTTCCCCCACAGTCCAAAGACGAGTGCTATAGGTGAAATAGGTAATCAAAATTGGCCATAGTCTGTGTGAATGAGAGTGTATGGGTATTTCCCAGTACTGGGTTGTGACTGGAAGGGCATCCAATGCGCAAAACATATACCGGAATAGTTGGCGTTTGTGGTGTGGTGACCCCTGATAAATAAGAGACTAACCCAAAGGAAAATGAATGAATGAATGAATAAATAAATAAACCTGTTGTAATGACAAAATGCAGAACGAGGCTGGTGGCGTTACTGCTAACGAATCTCACTTATGTGCGACACCAATCTCGAGTCTCACAAAGGAGCTCTGGAAATGAAAAATGAGGAGAGACAGCATTGGAAAATGAGAGAGGACTAGGCCTGGACACTATGTTTGTTTCGCTTTTAGTTTGGCCGCAGTCGCCTCGAGTCACTGTTGCTGCCTGTTTGTTTTGTTTATTTATTTATTATTTATCTTATTAAAAGACATCTTAATTAGTTATTTTTATTAGTTTGGCAATAAAGGGGCTACATGCACAGTTAATAACGTGTTTTTATTAATTGGCGGCCATTAAGTGAACTGCAGCAAGAAACTTATTGCTCGTCCTCATACTGCCACACACATAATATTTAATGCTGTGTTCACGCCACACAGAGAGCACTGCATCACTCACTGTAGTTTACTCACAAGATGTTTTTTTCTTCGCTTAAATTTTTTGCTTGAGTTCAATCATTTGAACTTGCACTGTATAATTCAGCCAAATTCTGTGTGTTTGTGAAAACCTCTACATGTGCTTTTACTTGTACTTACTATATAAATTACTCACATAAGAGACTGACGATAATAGCATTTCAACTGTCATAGCAATCTGGGCATGTTTGCTCAAGCTCTGATATTCATCAGTATTGACTCAACTGGGAAATGTAACAATTCACAGTGAAACTGCTGAAAACCAATTGAAATATGTGACTTTTCAAATCGGTAGACATGTTAAAAGAATAATGATAGCAGGGACCATTGTGCTTACTGGAAACTCACTTAACATGTACAATAGCGGTGATCCAGTTGTGGAAAAAAGTTTAAACTGAAAGCGAGTGTGCTGATGTTGATGGCGAAATTGTGATCCAAAATCACAAGATGGTCCATGAAAGCCAATGACTTCATGTAGCCTATTTAAGTTTTAAGGTAGGCTACAGCCTATTGTTTTCAGTGCATGGTTGACTGCTCCTTTAAATACACGGAATATACTTATTTGTCTTATTTGTTTAATTCAATGGACAAAACATGGACAAATTTCTGAAAATAGCCTATTTATTTATTTATAAATATGTTATATTTGTTTAGCCTATATAAGCTATTAAATTATATTTTATTTATTTATTGAAATTATATATTAAATTAAATTGCAATCTGTATTTTTCCTTTATTATTGGCTTTAACAGTTTATTGCTAACTATTCAAAGACAATTTAACTGAAATCTGTGAAAAGTTTTGTTGGCCTACAGTCAAAAATGTAATATTAGAGCCATGATTGTGGCGACAATACTGTGTCTAAATTGAAGCTATTTCTCTTATCAGAAAACAATAAACACACTTATCCCAGGTGCAGCATTGTATTAGATTTTAGCAAATATTAACAAAACACTTCCACCTTTCACGGAGAAACAGCCACCTGGGCGTCGAGTCTTCCACCTTCAGAACTGGCCACTATACTGAGAATAAAGCTTGGCTGCCTCCTACTAATAATGTATTTCCTGACTGTAAAAACTGACAGAGTTAATATTGATTATGCAGTGTTAGGCTATGTAGATCTGGCCATATATTTTTCTTACAAGCTGTTCTCACATTGGAAATAAAAAAAGTGATTTATACATGAAAATCGGACACACAGCTCTTTAAATGACAGCAGTTTTCACTGTTACGTGACTTAAAAAAAAAAAAAAAAACAGTGACTAATGAAGTGACTAAACTCTTAATTTCATTTTCCTCTCATAAAGTCATAGTTTTGCAGATTGTTTTTTTTTTTCCAATTTCTACAAATGGGACTGCAAGAATAGTACTGGACTCTAAATATTATAAGCAAATCATTTAAAAATTGTCAAAAACAAAGTGAAAATCACAGAGGCAGTCTTGTTTCAAAAAAATTCAAAGTCTCCTTCAAATGCAGCCTCAAAATGCATCCTTCATTTGCCAAGTTGAACATCCAAAGATTCATTGTACGCTTATGACGGTAGGATGTTTTTTTTTTTTTTTAAAACTCAGAATTAAATGTATGAATTAGGTTTTATTTTACTTGGATATCTAAACAAATGCTAAAAAAACTAAAAGTATGACATGTCTTTTTAAATAGTGATTTTATAGTTTACATTTTTGTGTACATGTTTGGATCAAAGAAAATATATTTCCAGCTTCTGTAAACCTTGCTTTGCCTTCAGCGGATGCAGCCTCTGAAATGAGACACAACTGAAGTCATTGCATTTGGGAACAGAGATGAAGTTCTCAAGGTGAATGTGTACCTTGGCTCTAAGGGTCAAACAACAACAACAACAACAACAACAAAAAAGTCAAGAATCTTGGTGTGACTCTGGAGTCAGATCTGAGTTTCAATAGTCTTGACAAAGCAGTAAGTAAATCAGCATACTATCATCTCAAAAACATTGCAAGAATTAGATGCTTTGTTTCCAGTGAGGACTTAAAGCAGTGGTCACCAAACTTGTTCCTAGAAGGCCGGTGTCCTGCAGATTTTAGCTCCAACCCTAATCAAACACACCTGAACAAGCTAATCGAGGTCTTACTAGGTATACTTGAAACACCCAGGCAGGTGTGTTGAGACAAGCTGGAGCTAAACCCTGCAGGGACACCGACCCTCCAGGACCAAGATTGGTGACCCCTGACTTAGAGAAACTTGTTCATGCTTTTATGAGCAGCATGGTGGATTACTGTAACAGCCTCCTCACGGGCCTTCCCAAAAAGACAGTCAGACAGCTGCAGCGCATCCAGAACGCCAGGATTCTGACCAGAACCAGAAAATCAGAGCACATCACACCTGTCCTCAGGTCTTTACACTGGCTCCCAGTTACATAATAGGGTCACACTTTACAATAAGGTTCATTAGTTAATGTTAATTAATGCATTTACTAAGATGAACAAACAATGAACAATACATTTACTACTGTATTTGTTCATGTTAGTTAACGTTAGTTAATGAAAATGCAGTAGTTCATTGTTAGTTCATGTTAACTCATGGTGCATTAACTGATGTTAACAAGAATGGACTTGAATGTTTAAAATCTATTATGAGTAACACTTTACAATAAGGTTCATTAGTTAATGCATTTACTAACATGAACTAATCATGAACAACACAAGTACAGCATTTATTAATCATAATTGAACATTTACTAATTCATTATTAAGTATTATCACTTGTCTATAAATCACCAAATGGCCTGGGACCTCAATATATAACAGATATGCTCACTGAATACAAACCAAACAGATCACTCAGATCTTTAGGATCAAGTAAACTAGAAATTCCAAGAGTTCAGCCAAAGCAGGGTTAATCGGCTTTCAGCTACTACAATCAGCTTCCAGAAATGATCAGATGTGCTCCAACATTAGGCACTTTCAAATCAAGACTGAAACACTTCTGTTTAGCTATGCCTTTACTGAATGAGCACTGTGCTACATCTGACAGATCACACTATTATGTCTTTCTTTTCTTTTTCTTTCTTTTATAACCTGTTTTAACACATTTTAATCTTAATTATTTTTATTATTTTGTTTTTATTTTCTATTACCTGTCTCTTTTATTCCTGTTTATGTTAAGCTTTTTGAATTTTACACATTTTTTTATTGAAAATTTAAGTGTAAAATACAGAATTTTACACAATTTTACACATTTTAATCTTAATTATTTTTATTATTTTGTTTTTATTTTCTATTACCTGTCTCTTTTGTTCCTGTTTATGTAAAGCATTTTGAATTGCCAATGTGTATGAAATGTGCTGTATAAATAAACTTCCCTTGCCTTGACAACTGTTGTTATTGCGGCTAATTGTAGTATTGGTAACCTATAGAAACCAACAGCAACAAGGCAAACAAAATGGAGATAGTTGATTGGTTACGTGGGTGTATATTCGCTACGTCAAAGTTTTTTCAGCAAATGTGTTTCAATCTCCAGTAATAAACCATTTTCCGCACATAAACCTCCTAAACCACCTCAAGCAAGCATAAATATATTATTATTCTTATTCTAAATTTTGATCACTCATTTTCTCATATAATACTTCAAACAGGCCATTAACACTGTGATGGAAACCCAGATAGCATTTTCAGTTAGCTAAAACAGATAGCATTTTCAGGCTAAATGAATAAAACGTTTATCATCTTTACTGGTAAAAGTTCACAATAGCAACAAATGTATAAATGAAACAATTGAGTGCACAATGATCCACAAAATCTTTGAACGGACATACTTGAGGTGCTCTGGGCAGAATTAATTGCAGCAATTAATGGAGGATGCAGCAGCATTTGAAGAATATCAATACGAATATAGAGCCTCACAAACACTTTAAAGCGTTACCATCTGAATATCTGGGGGGGTTATAGGTAATTGGACGCGAGGCATGTGCGGACCTCTAGAGAGAGATAGAAGAGTAATGTTATTTGTTTCTGTGTGCAGCTGGGGCTGGTGTCAAGCTCGAAGCTGGAGCTGGCGGTGGAAGAGGAGTGTGAGTCGGGCAGCTTCACCCACAGCGGCGAGTGCTGTGTGCAGTGTCCTCCAGGAGAGGGAGTGATCAAGGAGTGTGGAGCCACCCAGACTGAGTGCACTCAGTGCCTTGATAGTGAGTACCACTTCTCACATTTACGCAATTATTAGACTCTTGTGAAATTTGAATTCTTTTTCAAATATATATATTTAAAACATAACAGTTTTAATAACTAGTTACTAATAACTCATTTATTTCACTTCGCTGAGATGGCAGTGCATAACATTCTACTAATTATTTTACAACTACAGTGTAAAAAAAAAAAGTCAATTAACAGTTTTTTTTTATTTTGTGTTTTCCGATTATTTAAGGTTGTGAATTGCATTATGGGATGTTGATTTCTGCCCTGTCGACTTTTGATGTTGAAAATTCAACAGTTTAACAAAGTGACTTTTATTGACATTTTAGTAGTTTAAAATAATCAAATGTATTGGAAATTCATAAATTTTCTTTTTGGCTTAGTCCCTTAGTCCCTTTATTAATCTGGGGTCGCCGCAGCAGAATGAACCGCCAACTTATCCAGCATATGTTTTACACAGCGGATGCCCTTCCAGCTGCAACCCAATCACTGGGAAACATCCATACACACTAATTAACACACATACACTACAGACAATTTAGCTTACCCAATTCACCTGTACCACATGTCTTTGGACTGTTGGGGAAACCGGAGCACCCGGAGGAAACCCACGCCAACAAGGGAACTCTACACAGAAATGCCAACTGTCCCAGTCGGGGCTTGAACCACCGGCCTTCTTTGTATTAAAATAATATATGTAAAGAAATAAGTCTGTAAAGTAACAGAAAATGTACTGGCAGTCTACTGTAACAACACCAGCCCAGATGATATATCACTTTAAACTACACTGTAAAAAAACAATATTAAAACTGAATTAAATTAGCCACAGCAAATTAGTCAATTGAACTTTTAATTCACTGACTCAAAACAGCTCGTGTAACTTTTAAAATTAAGTTTCAAAATTGAGTATATGATAAACTTAAGTAAGTTACAATTAACTAAAATATATATTGTCATGACTATTGCATGACATTGATCATATATATTTTACAGGGTATTAAAAAATCTTAAACTTCAAACCTTTCAAACTAAGTCAAACTTTTTGAGTTTAAAAGTTGCTGGAAGATAGATCAATGTCCCACAAAGCAATTCAAAGGCATAAATAAATAAGGACAAATTAAAAATAAAAACATGAATCACAATTTATGTAAAACTGCTTATTACCTGACGTGTTTTACAGTGTAGGTTAAATAGGTTAACTACAGTAGACAAATTATGATAATTTGGCAAGTTATTGATAACAGTGGTTTGTTGTGTTGCCAATCAAAAAATAATAATTCTAAAGGGGGCTAATAATAATAATAATAATAATGAGCTCAATAAGTAGTTTTTTTTGCTCTCATAAAAAATTATATATATATATATATATATATATATACATACATACATACATACATATATATATATATATATATATATATATATATATATATATAAAGATAAAACTGAAAATTCCCTTGTTCTGTTGATTTAATGTTTGAAAAAGAATACATATTTCACATGGAGGGCTAATAATAAATGTATATTCATGTGTATGATTATATATATATGATATATTTCATGTATTATTAAACACCTGTACACATGCATGGACGAACATCCACAATTCTTCCTTTTACCCACATAAATTTATTAAGGTAATTAGTCTCTCTCAGACGTACACACGTATGCTTATTAACACATAATCATGTTCTCTCTGACACACAAACACATGCACATACACTCAAAGAACAGACAGAAAGCTGAAAGTAATTATGCAATTAGCTGGATATGCTATATGAGCTGCTGCTGTGTGTGTGTGTGCTTAATGCTTTAATTTAGGCCAAATGTTCAGCTTCGTAGTCTTTGAGGAAAACCAGACTGAGTGTTACTGAGAAAAACAAGACGTGAGAGATGAACACACATTTAAAAAGACACATAATATGTTGGAGTCTTTGTAATCCTTAGGAAATCTTGGCGGTCGGTTGACTCAATATTTTCAGGATGAAGGTTACGTTTGTATCACAGAATATATGGGTTATACAGTTCAAAGCAACATTTATTTCACAGTATGCCCTATTTTATTTTTTCTTATTATTTCTTTTATTAAAAGCAGTTTACACAAAATTTTTAAGGTCAATATTATTAGGAATATAGGAAATGATTATTTTTTGGCTAAATAACAAACAGCTGTTTTCCAATGACTTGCCTAATTAACCTATTGAAGGCATTTAACTGCAGTTTATGCTGAATACTAGCATCTTGAAAAATAATTAATAAAATAATATGTTCTGTTTTCATGGCAAAGACAAAGAAATATTTATTTTTAAACTATTACATTTTAAACAGTGTTGGGCAAGCTACTTGAAAAATGTAGTGAGCTAAGCTATTAGCTACTCAAAACGTAGTTTAACTACTCTAAAAGCGATCTCCTGGGAAATGTAGCAAGCCAAGCTAAAAGCTGCAAGGCAAAAGTCGCTTAGCTACATCCAAGCTATTTCTGCAATTTTCATTTTTAAATTGAAGCAACTTAAATCCAAGTCAATCATATCTTTGTGATCAATAAAACTGTTAATAAAACATGTGAGGCGTAATTGTTCAGTTTAATTATTTACTGCAAATGTTATACTGTACTAAACAGAAACAAATTATACTATTTTACAGCACAAACAAAAAATCCAATAAAACCTTTAAACATTTAAAATACTAGTAATTTATAGTAAAGGGAAATATGTAAAACAGGTAGAAAGAAGAAAATCGTCATTCTCGCCGTCAAATGGATTTACTTTCATCAGCTAAACACCGGCCTCACAGCTCTTTGAATGTCAGTGCAGTCACTTTCTTCAGAAGAAAACAGTTGAAGTCAGATTTATTAGCCCCCCTTTGAATTGTTTTTTTCTTTTTCTTCTTGAGAAAGTCTTATTCGTTTTATTTTGGCTAGAGTAAAAGCCGTTTTTAATTTTTAAAAGACATTTTGGGGTCAACATTATGGGGGGGGGCTAATAATTTTGACTTCAACTCTATATCTATTTATAAATATATACATACATAGAGTTGAAGCCAGAATGATTAGCCCCCCTTAGATTTTTTTCTTTCTTTTTTTTTATATTTCCCAAATGATGTTTAACAGAGCAAGGAAATTTTCACAGTATGTCTGATAATATTTTTTCTTCTGGAAAAAAAGTCTTATTTCATTTTTTAAACACCATTTTAAGGACAAAATTATTAGCCCCTTTAAGCTATTTTTTTAGTAGTCTACAGAACACACCATCATTATACAATAACTTGCCTAATTACCATAACCTGCCTAGTTATCCTAATTAACCTAGTTAAGCCTTTAAATGTCACTTTAAGCTGTATAGAAGTGTCTTGAAAAACATCTAGTCAAATATTATGTACTGTCATCATGTCAAAGATAAAATAAATCAGTTATTAGAAATTAGTTATTAAAACTATTATGTTTAGAAACGTGTTGAGAAAATCTTCTCCCCGTTAAACAGAAATTGGGGAAAAAATACATAGGGGAGCTCATATTTCAGGGGGGCTAATAATTCTGACTTCAACCAAATTCCGCATCCCCCTTCCCCATTATATGCACATCAGGAAACACAGGATAACTGAGGAAGTAAATTAATTACACCAGATATGACTTTATGAGTACATCATATGAGTGTTAAGTGTCTGGCGGTTGATTCCGCTGTGGCGACCCCAGATTAATAAAGGGACTAAGCAGTAAAGAAAATGAATGAATGAATGAATGTTAAATGTCTTTTATTTCACATACAGGTATATGGATTTTCCACAGTCAAAATGTCCAGTTTAGCATGGTTGATTCATGCTGATGACAGTTCTAGGTACAGTATTACCAACAGTGAATGCAACTAGTGCTTAACAGAAAGATCATGAGGCGGTTTCCAACATGTTCCAAATAGCACTTAAAGCACAATACTAGTAGCATGAAAAACATCTAGTCAAATATTATGTACTGTCATCATGGCAAAGATAAAAGAAATAAGTTATTAGAAGTTAGTTAATAAAACTATTATGTTTAGCAATGTGTTTCATTTTATATAATTTCGTGGTAAAAAAATATGTAGGGGGCTAATACTTCAGGAGGGGTAATAATTCTGTCTTCAACTGTACATATGTCCACTGACATTTAGAAACTGCATTGGCACATTTGGAAATGACAAAACACTTTTTACCTCTTTCTGTTGTGTTTTTCCTAAAGTGTCTCTATTCTACTTTTCGCTCTCAGTCAGAGAAACGAGCGGCTCACGGCGAGCGCAGAGAAGCACTTAGAGGACGACAGGCCTGAAATAGAGGAGGGCTTATGTTTCAGGATAGGACACTTTACATCAATAACCCAACTGGCTGCTTTTTTTTTCTTCTTTGTGCGTGGGATATAAATAAAGACGGTGAATGTTATATTAGAAAAGCACCTGCATGCATTTTTAGTGCAAGAAAACAAGCTTCCTGTTTACTGATATTTTGTGTTCTTTGCGCTTGTCTCCTGTCCTCTGTTTGGTCAACGCTGACAAAGACACACACACACAAGCACACCTACACACACAATTGCAGGTTTTGGTGGTTTATGAGGAAATATCTGTAGGTGTAATGTATTTTATACAGTAAAAACTGCTTTTAATAATCACAATAGGGCGGCAAGTGGGTAGCAATGTCGCCTCACAGCAAGAATGTTGCTAGTTCGAGCCTCGGCTAGGTCAGTTGGTATTTCTAAATGGAGTTTGCATGTTCTTTCCGTGCTCGTGTGGGTTTCCTCCAGGTGCTCCGGTTTCCCCCACAAGTCCAAAGAGAGGTGAATGTGTGTGAATGATAGTGTATGGGTGTTTCCCAGTGATGGGTTGCAGCTGGAAGGGCATCTGCTGCGTAAAACATATGCTGAATAAGTTGGTGGTTCATTCCGCTGTGGCGACCCCTGATTAATTAAGGGACTAAGCCAAAAAGAAAATAAATGAATTTCCGATAGTCTCGTCAGGTTTTAGTTGACTAAAAG